AAATAGTGTGGGTCAGTGTGCCTAATACATCCTCGCTCTGTCTGCTGAGAGGGCTAACGTGGTGCCATGCTGGTAAGGATGCATGAAGCGCTGCATCTTAATCTCAAAACACCCACTTCAAGAAAACAAGCCGGGCTCCTTGAAGACGTTGATTCGGGGACAGAGGAAGGGAAAGTATAAAACGTTCAGGCAGGGCAGCCAGCCTCAGACTCATAATCATCCGCTTAAACCTGAGTGCGGAGGTTACAGGTGTGGCTACCAAACCTGGCATGCTGCCAGGAAATTAAAATAATTTTAAATAAAGAGCATTTAATTTATCCAAAATCATCATCACCATCATCATCATCATATCATCATCATCATCATCATCATCATCATCTCATAGGACCTCTCTGAGAGTGGTGGCACACACCTTTGATTCTAGTGCACCAGAGGTAGAAGGTGGGTGAGTTCAAGGCCAGCCAGGGCTACATAGTGGGACTTTGACTCAAATAACAAACAAACAATAAGTAAATAAATAACAGGACCTAGCCTTAACTAATTCCTAACACTGGGACAGGCTGGAGCGTGGCTCAGCTGGTAACGTACCTGCTGCACAAACATGAGTACCGAGTTCAGATCACGGCACCCACGGCATCCACGGCACCCACAGCATCCACTGGTCACATCCCTGTGTGCCTTTAATCCAGCACTGTGGAGGCAGAAACAGGACAATCTCTGGGGCTAGCTGGAAGCCATTCTAGGGAATCAGCCCCAGATTCAGTAAGGGAGCAACCTTAAAAAAAAAAAGGTGGAGAATCCCAGCATCAACTTCTGGCCTACACACACACACACACACACACACACACACACACACACACACACACACACACATACACACACACACAAGGCGGGGGCAATTGGAACTGGTAATGAATGCTCACCTACAATCCAAGGGAAACCTATAACAACAAAGCGGAAGAGGACTGAGTGATGCTCGGTGGCGGGGTGTGGACCCGGCATTCCAAAGGCCTTTGTGTCAACTGCCAATGCTAGGAAACAAGTAAACACTGGAGGAAATGAGGACTAACCAGGAGAGGAAATGAGGACTAACCAGGAGAGGAAATGAGGACTAACCAGGAGAGGGAAATGAGGACTAACCAGGAGAGGGAAATGAGGACTAACCAGGAGAGGGAAATGGACCACTCACACATTCTTACACCGTCTCAGATTTTCACCAAAGGAAAAAAGAACATGATCATCACACACCTCCCCCAGCCCCAAAGAATAAAACAGTCTTGGGATAAAAAAAAAATAAGGCTATGGAAATATACCGGCAGAGGGAAATTTTTTCGATGATAGGAGAAATGATAGGAGAAGTTGAAGACCAGACTCCAAGAAGCATAAAACACAAAGAAAACCACAACAGTTCCAATCGGGAAAGAGTCTCCCTGCCCTAGTTGTGTGTGTGTGTGTGTGTGTGTGTGTGTGTTATATGCACACATACGGTTCTAATTTGTGTGCCATGTGAAGGACAAAAGGAAGGAAGATAAAGGGCGTTTGGTCAGTTTGGGCCAGAGGTCTTGTTCATGTCTATGACAGCAGACAAAATCAGCCACTCCAAAGCACATCACTGGAAACAGGAGCCACACAGACTAAAAAAATCTGTCCACCTTCCAAAGAAAGGCTGAGGGAAGACAAATTCAAAAGAACTTGGGTTCTGGAGCCTCAGAAAGACAGACCTTTAAAATTCTGAAAGAAATTGTTTCCCATCTAAAATTTTATGCTTGGCTAAACTGTGCACTTATTTGATATTAAAATAAAGATATCAGCTGGGCAGTGGTGGCACATGCCTTTAATCCTAGCACTTGGGAGGCAGAGGCAGATGAATCTCTGTGAGTTCGAGGCCAGCCTGGTCTACAAAGTGAGTTCCAGGACAGGGTCCAAAAGCTACACAGAGAAACCCTGTCTCTCTGCAAAACCAAATAAATAAATAAGTAAATAAAATAAAAAAAATAAAGATATTTAGATACACACGTTCTCAAAACTTTACCTCTTACACGCCTTTAATTAGAAAGCTCTCAGAAGGAGCTTGGGAGGTGGCTCAATGTGGGTTAAATGCTTGCCATGCAAGAGTAAGGGCCAGAGTTCAAATCCTCCACATCCACATATAAAGGCTGGGCATGGTGGGGCACACCGGTAGCCGTGGAGTTTACTGGCCAGCCAGACTAGCCAAAACAAGCTCCAGCTTCAGTGAGAGACCCTGTCTCAAAAAATAATGGAGAGTGATAGGAGCAGCTATCTACAGCCAACCAGCTGTGTGTGTGTGCATACATACATACACAGAGACAAGTGTGCGCGCACACACACACACACCACACACACACCACTCACACACACCACACAACACACACACCACTCACACAACACACACACCACACACACAACACACACACACCACTCACACAACACACACACCACTCACACAACACACACACACACACCATTCACACTCACACACACACACACACACACACCACTCACACAACACACACACCACTCACACAACACACACACCACTCACACACCATATACCACACACACACACCACACTCACACACACACACACACACACCACTCACACACCATACACCACACACACACACCACTCACACACACACACACACCACTCACACACATAGACATCAAAAGACAAACCCATCAGAAGATGAATGTTTAACCTGATTCCGGCATCCCATGGTGTCTACATGTACTGGACATCACATGGCTCCTCCATGAACACAACTTCTATGATTTTGTTTATCAGTTAAAATTAACTTTATAAAAAAAAACCCAGGCCAGGTGGTGGTGCTGCACACCTTTAATCCCAGCACTCGGGAGGCAGAGCCGGGAGGATCCCTATCAGTTTGAGAGCCTGGTCTATAGAACGAGATCCAGGACAGGCACCAAAACTACACAGAGAAACCCTGTCTCGGCGGGGTGGGGAGAAAGCCCACAATCTAAAAGAAAGTTACTACAGGTATCTCCTTGAGAAAGAGGAAAATCTGGAAGCAAGGACTAGGGGAACATGGACGGTAGGGGGCACAGCAAACTCCCTGTGCCCAGGTGACCTGGAAGGACACACAGGTTCCTAACCAGGGTCATAGGAGACTTCCGAGGAGGTGAATTTAGGCTTAAATCACTGAAAAACCAAACAGAAGACTATCTGGTGACCTACACCTGGAATCCCATCACTCAAGGCAGAGGCAGAAGGATGGCACTGAGTTTGAGGCCAGTGGGGTCTACATAGGGAGACCTTGACTCCAAAAACACAAAGTAACAACAACAATAAACCCTGTAGCACCGACATTTGTATCCTACATACAAATTCAGGACGTCCACTGTCACAGTTTCACAGATGCCAGCAGAAGAGGTGTTCCTGCCTCAGAGATGGGTAGCATACCAGTTCTCCTCGTATGTGCAGGGAGCCAGACCATCGGGCACATACGGTGGGCTGGAGCAGGAACGTGGAAGCCTGGTTCAGGGACCTGGCCTTTTGCTCTGAGGAGGATGGACTCTCTTCCTGTATGTGTGTTGTGCAGACTAAGAGCCATACTGCCCTATATCGGGTCTTTTCTGAAATTCCTGGCAAGGATAACTTCCATGAAAATCAAATGAATAGTTGTACTTAACAAAACAACCCATACAATCGCACTCCTCCCAATTTGTCATCCATTCTTTGCAGAAGAGACCCAGAGCCCGGGGCGATCCAGCAAGAGCGGGAGTGGTCCTGAAACTCCAGCGGGTCCCAAGGCGAGCTGCAGGGCAGGCAGGAACGTTCCCCTACCAAGTTACTTCTGGAAACCTGCAAACTGCCCAGCTGCAGGCCATGGGCCAATCACAGGCCACACCCTGTGGAAATTGGTTTCTCATGGTGTAATAGGTGATTGAACCTGGCTGGATATGAAGCACTCAGAGACAGAGGCAGGAGAATTGCCACAACTTCAAGGACATCTTGGTCTAACACGTATCCACTCTTCTGCCATTGTCATCTGCAAAGCTCACATTCACGAACAGCAAGAAAGTTACACACACACACACACAGAGTTTTTGTATTTATTTGTTTGTTTGTTTGTTTGTTTGTTTATTGGTTTCTCCGTGTGGTCCTGGTTGTCCTGGGACTCTTCTGTAGACCAGGCTGGCCTCGAACTCAGAGATCTGCCTGCCTCTACCTCCCAAGTGCTGGGATTAAAACGTGGGCCGCCACCCTGGCTTTTTGGATTGCTGTTTTTTGAGACAAGGTCTAGCTTTGCAGCGCGGGCTGGCCTGGAGTTTCAGCACGTGTGTCCAACTTGCAGCTACGAAAGCAGCCAAGCACAGCACCTTAAACTTACTGAAACATGAAGATTTAAAAACAAAAACAGCACTTGGGAGGCAGAGGCAGGCGGATCTCTGTGAGTTCGAGGCCAGCCTGGGCTACCAAGTGAGTTCCAGGAAAGGCGCAAAGCTACACAGAGAAACCCTGTCTCGAAAAACCAAAAAAAAAAACAAAAAAAAAAACAAACAAACAAAAAAAAAAAAGTGTCGGGTGGTAGTAGCACACACCGTTAATCCCAGCATTTAGGAGTCAGAGGCAGGAGGATCTTCAGGTTCGAGGCCAGACTGGTCTAAATAGTGCGTTTCAGGACAGCCAGGGCTACACAGGGAAACCCTGCCTGGGGGTAAAAAAAGAAAGAGAAGTTCTCGGTTCTCCCACTGCCGCGGGCCTGGGGGCGATGGCCCCTCTCCTGGTGATCGGGGCAGGGGCAGGGGCAGGCGCGCGATGTTTCAGGGTGCGCAAGGGCCCTGGGACACTGGTCCAGCCGGGCCTGCTCTGCTGCGCAGCGGGGGTGGTGGCCGCTTCCCCGCGGGGCAGCTCTGGCCGCACCTTCCCGGAGACCGTGGAGGAGGCGGGGCGCACGTCCCCTTATCGACCCCATCTCCCGTTACATAAGGCCGCGCCCCTATCTCTGCGGGCCATCGCCGCGCCAGCGCGCCTTCTCCCACGCGCCGGGGGCGCCTACCCGCTGCTCCCCGCACGCCTTCTGCTTGTCTTGAGGGGCAGGGGCGCGTTGACTCATGCATGCACCACCCGAGGTGTTTCCCCGAGCCTTCCCCCACCGAGGAGACCTCCAAGGGATCTGCCGCCCGCCCTGTCCTCCAGAATGAGAAACTGAGGCCCCAAAGGGGTCACTCATTCTAGGCAAAGAACTCCAAGACCTGTGGGGCTGCCGGGGGCGGAGGCCGGTGTCCAGTTCCCAGGTCTATAGACAAGCTGGGAAGCCTCCACTATGGACAGAGAGCTGCCGATGCTGTTCCCATGAGAAGAGAGCTGGGCAAGGCTAGGTCCTGCAGGAGGGAGGGCGCCAGAGTCCCTTGAGGACCTTTGTGAGAAGATGGAGGCTGGCTGAGGAGAAGAAACGAGTGGGGGGAAAATCTGAGAAAGAAGAGAGGGGCATGAAGGGGGCCGCTGTTGGCCTAAGGGAGGAAGTGGGTGAGGGTGCATCTTGAGTCACTCCCCAATAGGCAAATGCTGTGGCCTCTGCGGAGGGTGGTAGTTGAGGATAAGGAAAGAGGAGGGAAAAGGCCATGTGCTTGGCATCCCTGCAGCTGGGGGCTGCCTGCAGGAGACAGGCCCAGGAGCTGCCCTTCAGTCATCCGGAACACTCAGGGAAATTGGAGGCCCTAGAAGGCCAGCACTGCTTCTGCGGGGACTGGGAGGCAAGGGTGGTGGCCCCAGTCTCGGCCAGGTCAGCGAAGTCCATGCTCTCTGACCCGGCTGGAGTTGGAGCAGCCTGATGCCTACCCAACCCAGCTGTAGTGTGCCAGCAGAGTGGCCAAGAGAGAAGGCTGCCCATTGATAGAATTGGCATCAGAACAGTTTTACACGTGAAAGGTCTGGGGAATACCTGGGCTGGCTGCGTCACAATCAACTTTGTACAGTATGAACTTCTCTGGTCCCTCCCACTTGCGAAGCCGAGGAGCAGTGGGGTGGACGGAAGTGAATTTCCCTTACTCTCTCTGTCCTGTTTGAATTCTATGTCCTTTGATGAATTATGAGATGTGTTCATTGAAATTAAGGGGCGGGGGGGGGGGGGGGGGTAGAGAAAGAGAAGGAAACGTCCCAATTCTCACAGAAGACAGATACTGCCATGTGCCCAGAGGCTGCCAGGTACTTTAGTGACCCAAAGGGGTCAGCATTGGGCTGGCTGCCCAGGAGCTTGGGGTGGTGGCCACCAGGTGGAATTTTCGGGGCGAAATCTGGCTTTGCTGATGCCCACCTGGGAAATAAGCCACCGCTATCTTGGAAACTCTGTCCCAGACCCTTCTCAATAAATCCACTAAATCAGACTCTTTCCTTTAGACGGCACTGGATTTTCCAAAAAAGCTAAAAAAGAAAAAAAAAAATCAAGATGAGTAAAGATGTGGTTTTCAGATAATGCCCAACAAGGCAGCGACCAGGGGTGAGGCGTCACCACTTGGGCTTATAAAAGCTGCTGCCACAGGCTACGTCCACAAAGCCACCAGCTTAAGCCAGCCTACAGTTCTTCTGCGCCTTGGTTCTCTCGTTGGCTCTGGGCTTCATGGCGCTCTGGGTGACTGCAGTCCTGGCCCTCGCCTGCCTTGGTGGTCTCGCCGCCCCCGGCCCTGTGCCTCGGCCCATGACGCCCCCTGTGGCCCTCATGGAGCTTATTGAGGAGCTGAGCAACATCACACAAGACCAGAGGGTGAGTAACACACCTCCCCCTCCCCGGAAGACGTCCTGAGCAGGCCGGGTCTGGCCGTGTATGTATGATAGAGGGAAGAGAGAAGCTAGCTTGGGGGTGGGGGGCAACAGTGTGGTCAGTGAAGGGTCCCCCAAAGGAAAGACCTTTACAACTGGACAGATTTACTCCAAGAGAACCTGTGGAAGAGAGGTTTCTAGATGGGGAAAGCAGACAGCTCCCAGACTTCTCACAGTCTAGGCTAGTTACAGGGACAGGGGAGGGTTGGGATGTGAACCCAGAGCTTGCTAGGGTATTCAAGGAACGGTGAGCCAGAGAGTGCCAGGTGGTCCGTGAAGCTCCATGATGACCAGTCATTATCAAGGTTCTGCAGAAGGAGGGCCGAGAGTGGGGCTGGGGGATGCCCAGGATCTAGGAAAACGGGCTGCATTAGTTCTGGAATGCTGATTACTGTGGTTCCCAGAAACTGCCCTGTTTAACCAAAGTGGAGAGCTTTCTCAAAATGGCGGGGCCATTGGCATCTACCAACTGGATTTCCTACGCCACTGGCGTATGAGCTCACACCATTGATTATTGCTAAGCCTGGTGTTAGGCTGTGTTGTCCCTTCTGATAGCTCCAGAGGCAGGCACAGCGGCTTCGTTTTGTAAGGCTGGGGGAGGTTAATGCCACAGTCTAGACTCAAGCCTTGCAAGAATCATATGAGGCTTCCTCTGTGTGATCCTAACATAGCATCCCAGAGAACAGACTAGAGATACATCGGGCTCCTGCTGCCTCAGCCCCGGCTTGACCCAGTCGACAGCAGCCTCCCCCACCCTTCTACGAAACTGCACCCTGGCCTTCTCTGTAGGCCCCCATGCTCCTGGCCAGACTGTGGCAGGCTTCAGATGAGGCACTTTCCCTGCCGATAGCCACTCGAGGTTCCTCTCTCAGTCCCTGGACTCTAACTCCTGCCCCAGCTTACCGGGTTGAGGGGCTGTCAGGCCCGACTCTGTGCTACACTCGGGGTGCTTGTGGGCCTGGCCTGGCTGGGGTTGGCCCGTGACTCCTGCCCCCATTCTACTCATGGTCTCTTTGCTTCCTCAGACGCCGCTATGCAACGGCAGCATGGTGTGGAGCGTGGACCTGACAGCTGGCGGGGTAAGGAGCCCGGCTTTGGGATGTGGAGGCGGCTGTGGGTCTTGGCCTTCTTTTTTCTCTGAGCCCTCTTCACGCAGCCAGGGCTTTGCAAACCACCTTCAGAGCGACGCATGCCTGGAATATCAGAGTTTGAGAGGTTGAGGCAGGAGGATTACCATGAGTTTGAGGCCAATCTGGACTATATAGCAAGTTCCAGGCTTGCCTGGGCTACAGAATGAGATCCTGCTTCACAGAAAGCAACTGTAAAGGAGACTCTAGCTCAGAAGTTCTCAACCTTCCTGATGCTGCGACCCTTTAACACAGTTCCTCAGGTTGTGGTGACCCCCAACCACAAAATTATTTTCATCGCTACTTCATAACTGTAATTTTGCTACTATTATGAATCATATGTAAATATCTGATACACAGGGTATCTCTGATATATGACCCCCACAGGGGCCATGACCCACAGGTTGAGAACTGGGAAGCTACCCATTCACTCCTCATAATCTAGGCTCCTTCTGCGCCCCCCATACCCACCTGGCCAGTCCAGCTGCCTTCCGGTAACCTGAGCCAGGCCCAACACCTGCCCTCTCCTCCCACAGTTCTGTGCAGCCCTGGAGTCCCTGACCAACATCTCCAGTTGCAAACCCATCTACAAGACCCAGAGGCTACTGAGTGGACTCTGCACCCGGAAGTCGGCTGGGGTAAGGCCTGCTCCATCCCTCACTACTGCTAGCCTGGCTGAACATCCCACGTGTGTATCCACCCAGGAGCGGGTCCACTGTGGCAGTCGGGACCCAGTCTCAGGAGTCACTGGTCCTGGGCTTAAGGGCTCCCAATTTCTACCTGAGCCTCAGTTTCCACATTCGTAAAGAGGCAAAACCAGAACCCCCCTGGCAGGGACTTTTGGGAGCATTGTACGGGACAGTCCCTGGAAAGCCCCTGGTGAGTGCTGGCTGTCCGTGACATTGGCGTCCCCTCTAATGGATGGGCCTCTCTGTTGTCTTACAGCTTTCCAGCCTCCCGGATACCAAAATCGAAGTGATCCAGTTTATCACCACACTGCTCAGCTACTCGAGGCAACTTTTTCGCTACGGCACCTTCCCGTGACAAGAGAAAACCACAGAGACAGGCCCTGGTCACCTCAGTTGCGGAGCTGTTTTTCTTTCTCACATCCGACATTTCTTTGGGAGGCTGGGAGGCGGGTTGGGAGGGGATGAGATTGCCTCAGCTTTGACCTCGGCCTGTACCGCCTGCCTAGTGCCGGGGGACTCGGCCTGGCAACTTCCCCTGTCGGTCCATCCCTGTGCCTGTGGCCTGCTTCACACAGGCCAACTGAGGTGGAGAGCCGCTTGGGCACATTTCTTCTTGATCTTATTTATTATGGTTGTATGTTATTTAAATGAGTCTGTCAGTATTGGGGTGGGGGAATGGTCTGCTGCCTGCGCCCTGAGACGTGGGGCCCCAGCCCCGAAGCAGTGGGCCTCGGGGTCCCTGGCAATAATCACTGTACACACAATTCTGCTACCTCACTGGGGCCTCCGGGGTCTCGCCTCAGGCAGGGGACAGGAGGGAAGGCCACAGCCACAGTCCTGTCTGCCAGCCGGCAGCAACCAGCCCTCAGCCATGAAGTAACTTATTGTTTTATCCTTATATTTAAACTATTAAATAGGTTAGCAAAGAGTTAATAATATATGGAAGAATGGCCTGTTACACTTAAGGTGATGTGTGGGGAATGGCGGGGGGAGGGGAGGGCTTGTCATTGAACATGGACTGTCAAACTAGAAACTGGAAATAAAGATTGTGACAGATAGGCCTGCCTGCTTTTGCCTTCTCTTTTGGTCCTTGGGGATGCTGGCCTGTGGGCTCCAGACTGAGGAGGAGCCCAGGATGAGGCAGGCTTCTCAAAGGAGATAGAAGGGGTGTAGGGCAAGACCTGGGGTGAGAGTAAACCCTCTGGGCTGGGGGGGGAGGGGCGAGGAGAGGATACACCCCCTGTCTACTGGTGGTGAGCGGAGGGAGCTTGGGCCAGGAAGTTGGGGTTCAAGGGGGATGTCTGGAGCAGGCGGGGAACCTCTTGGGTATCTCCCGATGACTGGCCAGCTGTGTCTGCACCTCCCACACAGTCTCAGGTCTCCCTTGCCACAGTGGGAGGCACATAAGAGCCGGAGACGTGGTGCGGGCAGGAGGTTTGCCCAAGGTGCATGCTGGGGGGGAGCCAAGGCCCACATTGCCCTTTTCAGCAGCCACCTGCCTATACACACGGCTCTTGTCCACGACAGCGCCTATTTGGATGTTCTCTATTGATGGGGCATTCGCTACTTACACTCTAGGGACAGCCTGTTGAATTTCTGGACCCCACTCATCACTGCTCTGTAAGCCAGGATGAATCAGTTGACATGTGGGGGACTGGGGTAGACAGACGAGGCCATGGAAGATGGCACCTCAGGGCAGGTGGCCTGCCTCCCCCTTGCTGGCCCAAAAGCTGGAGTGGTGAAAGTATCTGCACCAGCAAGCCCTTGGGAGATGCTGCCCAGAGCAGAGAGAGACGGAGAAGGGTAGGGTAGCTCTGCAGCAGGTGTGGAGGAGGATTCAGAGACCACCCACACTCTGGATGACTGTAACACGGAGACTTAAAAGGTCTTATTAATGTTTTGTTTTGTTTTTTTTTCTTCCCGAGACAGGGTTTCTCTGTGTAGTTTTGGTGCCTGTCCTGGATCTCGCTCTGTAGACCAGGCTGGCCTCGAACTCACAGAGATCCGCCTGGCTCTGCCTCCTGAGTGTTGGGACTAAAGGCGTGTGCCACCACCGCCAGCTAAAAGGTCTTATTAATTAAAAAAAAAAAAATCAGGAGCCAGATATTGGGGTGAATTCTGAGAAACCAGAGAGACAGAACAAGCCACAGCCAACCTCACCTCACCAACTCCTCAGCTGATCTTGTTTCCTCAGACTGAAAGCCACTGAGTTCTCACCCGAATGGATCTCAGCTGAACTGCTGCTCAAAAGCCTCTAGTTCCTGGTCCTCACACCTTATATACCTTTCTGCTTCCTGCCATCACTTCCTGGGATTAAAGGCATGTGTGTCCTTCCCAAGCAATGACATGAGATCTCAAGTGCTGGGATTAAAGGTGTGTGCTACCATGCCTGGTGCTGTTCCCGGTGTGGCCTTGAATTTACAGAGATCCGTCTGTGAGTGATAGCATTAAAGATGTGTGCCACCACTGCCTGGACTCTGTGTTTAATCTAGTGGCTGTTGTGTTCTCTGATCCTCAAGCAAGTTTATTAGGGTATATAATATATTGGGGTACACACTATACATCACCACAAATGACAGGCAGGGGGGACCTTCCTGCGGCAGACTGGAACCTTCCATTCCCGTATTCACAGCCGCATGTCAGCCATGCAACACCAGGATGTGGCAGGAAGTCAACCAGCTCTTGGGGAATCAGTGTTCCCTTCTTGCCTCACTGCCAACAAAGGAGAGAGGGGAAGAGGCCACACAACAGCATTGGGGTCAGCTACTCTGCAAGACAGAGAGAAAATCCCTGCAGACGGGTGTGGGATGTGTGCAGCAGGGCAGCACCGGCTCCCGGGAGTGCCAAAGGGGTCACATTTGCCAAGGACCATCTGTGGCTGGCACAGCACCAGCCACCTAGACTAGGGACTGCAAGACATGGTACCAGACAGAACTTAGAGAGGTGGGGAGGAGGATGCCCTCCTCCATCCTTCCTGCTGGGGGTACTGCTAGGAAGTCAGGTGAGCAATGATCTGGCATCCTTCTCCGCCCATAGCCTAGAATCAAAAACTAGATGAATTGTTTTGTTTTGTTTTTTGTGGCAGGGTTTCTATGTGTAATAGTCCTGGCTGTCCTGGAACTCGCTCTGTAGACCAGGCTGGCCTCGAACTCAGAGATTCACCTGCTTCTGCCTCCCGAGTGCTGAGATTAAAGGTGTGCACCACCACCAACCAGCTTGGTTGGTTGTTTAAGAAAAGGGTGATGTATGTGTGTGTGAACGTGTGTGCATGTGCATATGTATACATGTGTATATGATGTGTGTGTGACTGTGCATGTATATATGTGCATGTGTGCATGTGTGTGTGTGTGTGTGTGTGTGTGTGTGTGTGTGTGTGTGTGTAAGAAACTAGAGGTCAACCTTGGGTGTTGTTCCTCAGAAACAATCCACTTTGGTATTTTTGTTTGTTTGATTTTTGTTTTCTTTTTTTTATTGTTTGTTTGTTTGTTTTGTTTTTCTGAGACAGGGTTTTTCTGTAGCGTTGGTGCCTGTCCTGGAACTCACTCTATAGACCAGGCTGGCCTTAAACTCACAGAGCTCTGCCTGCCTCTACCTCCTGAGTGCTGGGATTAAAGGTGTGTGCCACCACCACTAGCTGAACCTTGTTTTTCTATATAGGTCTCTCACTCACTGGTCTAGAACTGGCCTATTAGGCCATTGGTAAACAATCCCCAGAGATCCTTTGGCCTCTGTCTCCCCAACCCTGATGTTACAAGTGTGCATCATCCTGCCCTCTTTCTCATGCTTTTGAGGCAAACAATTTACCCACTGAGCCAGCTCCCCAGGCCCCAAGAATAATGCTTTTCTGAAAAACAGAAAATCATGCTCTGTGCATCTCCCATCAATATAGCTTCATCTTTACTCAGGTCCCCTCTACCTGACCAAGGTGTCAGCCAGTCTGTCCAAAATAAAGGAGATGGTTCAGGGGACAAACACACTTGCTGTGCAATCCTGATGACCTAAACTCTATCCCTGGAACCCGTGCAGAAGGCCAGACGCACTGGTGGCATCTGTAACCCCGGCATTGTTATGGTAATGTGGGACGTGAAGACAGGACAATTGGCCAGAAGCTCATGGGTCAGCTGACTCCCAAAGAAGATGGAATGCCAGGGCTGGGGAGATGGTTCTGTAGTCAAGAGCACTGGCTAATCCTCCAGAGGCCCTGGGTTCAATTCCTTGCCCCCACCTCCATGGTGGCTCACAACCAACTGTATCTCCAGCCCCAGGGAATCTGATGCCCTCTTCTGGACTCCATGGGCACTGAGCACACACGGTACACAGGTATGCAAACTCTTGTCGCATAAAGTAAATAAAATCTCAGCTGGGCATGGTGGTGCACACCTTTAATCCCAGCACTCGGGAGGCAGAGGTAGGCAGATCTCTGTGAGTTCAAGGCCAGCCTGGTCTACAGAGTGAGTTCTAGGACAGCCAGGACTATTACACAGAGAAACCCTGTCACAAAAAGCTTAAAAAAAATTTAAGATTGAAAGAGAGAACCAAAAGTTGTCCTTTGACCTCCACATGTACACAGTGGCACAGGTGCACAAGCACTTAAAAATGTGTACACACACACACACACACACACACACACACCACTGAGCATTCTCTTCTCTCCCTCCCTCTCCCTCTTCCCTTCTCCCTCTCTCGTCTCCCTCTCCCTCTCTCTTTTCCCTCTCCCTCTCCTTCCCTCTCCGTGTGTGTGTGTGTGTGTGTGTGTGTGTGTGTGTGTGTGTGTGTGTGTCCCGCAGCGATTCCAAAGGGAGCCTACCTAATACAAGGTGCATATGCAGCCATGCCAGGTCTGGCCACTAGGGGTCCACAGCGGGCTGCAGCCTCATCCCCACCACAGCCCCAGTCCTTCCCGCAGACTGTGCCTCCTGCAGGGGACCTGTGGTCCTCAATGGGGTGCGCTGGGCCCTTCAGGAACAAAGGATAACTTACATGGCCACAGAACAAAGCTGGTACACCTACCTGACAAGGAGGTGGCCCAGTCAGGAACAAGGAGAGGAGGAGGAAGAAAGAGGAGATGTGTAAGTTTGGGAGGAAGCATCCCCTAGCCCCCTGGGAAGCTGCTGGGAGCTTTCTCCCACACACAAGGGCAGCTCTCAGCAGTGCCCAGAGACTGGGGAGCTGAGAAGAGCTGGGGGCCCCCCGAGGAGCGGGGGAGGCAACGGCAGTCAGGGCGTGGGGTGAGTGGCCCCTCCGCACCCCAGGCTCAGGAGGTTTCACTGGAGGCGGGAGGGACGGGGGCTCAGGTGAGAAGTGAGATACCCACTCAGTTTCTGGTGAACTCAACAGCAAGCACTTCTCCTGGTCAGGCAAGGTGCTGAAAACACAGTCACTTCAAGGGTTTCTCTGAGGCCAGTCCCTGGGGTGGAGGAAGGGGAACCGGGCAAAGGACTGTGGTTGTCCCCTAGTGCTAAGGGCGGCTAGGAGGATGGGGCTGATCAAGCCGTCGGCTGTCACATTCACACCATAGCCAGTGTCGGTCCCTGCAGTCAGCTGGTCAGTGGAAACCAGCCTCAGCCCTGCTTCTCCCTACGGAGATGGTGGCAGGTGCCACTGGCCGTGTGTCCTGGCTTTGGGGCACCCTGGTTGTGTGGTCCCACGCTTTAGGCTGGTGGAGACTAGAGCTCTGTCCACAGTCACCCTCCCTCCCGCCACACACACACACTGCCCTCTCTTACTCTGAAAACTAAAGTCACGAGGTCTCATTATCTTCATTTCTCAGCTCCACCCAAAAGTGACAGAGAGCATGGCTTGCAACGAACTTTCCCAGATCAACTGATTTCTCGGCAGCCAGGGAGGGCCCCCCATGACGGGGCCATTCGAAATCCCAGAACCAGTTTTCTACTTACGACCTCACTTTCTGTTGCCCCCTCTCCCTTCCCCTCCACAGTGCCATCTCGAGTGGAAAGTGATCCCCTCACGGAGTGTCTAAGAAACGCCTCCAGCCCTGCCTTCCCTGGGCTGTTGTGTGGTCAGAGGTGACGCAGGTACCCAAATTAAATATAGCAGATCTCGTCATCTCCGCTTCGAGCATCACAGTGGACCAGTGCGTGGGGGCTGCGCAGCTCTTCCTGAAGCCCTCCTTAGGGAAGCAGCCTGGCTGTCCCCCGCAGCCTGCCTGTCCCCCGCAGCCTGCCTGTCCCCCGCAGCCTGGCTGTGCCCCGCAGCCTGCCTGTCCCCCGCAGCCTGCCTGTCCCCCGCAGCCTGGCTCCTGGCTACCTGGACCTGCAGCTCTGTAGTCCCTGGCCCTACTCAGGCCCACGCTGGAGTTCAGGGGACTTCAAAGAAGCAAAAGCAACCTCTCACGTACTCATTCTCCTGTGTTCTCGCTTCTGCTACATACTTTGTTATAATAAGTACACGTCCATTCCCCAGTGGGGCCACGGACAAAGACATTTACTAGAGAAAAGCAGAACATTCCTGAGCTTCCTGGAAGGGACAGATCGGGACTGGGGCTGGAGTGGGGACAAACAGTATCCTGGGACCCTCAGCTCTTTCAGGAAGGGATAGTGTTTGGGAAGGCATGGCCAGATGAGCTCTCTGCTCTCTGGGCCTCCAGGCCTTCAGATCCATGGTGGGTAGTGAAGACACAGGAGGGAAGTATGTCCAGGGGACAGACCCTCAGCTAGTTCTGAGGCTGAAGTAACACCAAGGTCGTGGGGACCGAGGAGAGTACCTGCTGACTTCAACAGCCTTCCCGATCTCTCTCGAGAACGTCTTCCCCGGTGTCTCAGGGCCACAGCCCACGCAGACACTTGTCCACACATGTGGCTGCTGTGGTTACCTCTTCCTTGGGCCCCGTGCTTTGGTGGAGTCCTCTCTGTGTCTGTGATCAGGGTCCCTTGTCCAGACTTTCTGAAGACACAGTTAGCCAAGGGTCCAGGGCAAGGAATTCATGAAGGATCAAATCAACTCTGCCTTCAAGTTCCATGGTGTCCTGATTGTAAAAATTGTTACTTGGGCCAAGTCTCAGGTGCCACTCTGAAGCAGAGCTCCATCCACCCATCCATCCATCCACCCACCCATCCACTCATCCATCCATCCATCCATCCATCCATCCATCCATCCATCCATCCATTCATCTACCCACCCATCCACTCACCCATCCATCCACTCACCCATCCATCCATCCACCCATCCATCCATCTATCCATTCATCTACCCATCCATCCATTCACCCATCCATCCACCTACCTATCCACCCACCCACCCATCCATCCCTCCTTCCCTCCATCCCTCCCTCTCTCCATCCCTCCCTTCATCCATCCATCATCCATCCATCCATCCATCCATCCATCCATCCATCCATCCATCCCTCCGTCCATCCATCCAGAATTCACTGCAGCCTTACCAGGTACCACTGATCTGGTTCCTGAGCACAGCAAGGTCAGATCTAGTGAGGCAGCAGAGCATCCAGCACAGGGGTGTCAGGCAGCTCTGAAGCCACAGAGAGAAGCCAGCCAGCGGCAGGGGAGAGCACGGGAATCCGAGAGTGCCTCACTCATGAGATAGGATGACAACAGAGGTCTGGCTGGACAGAACTCACGGAGAAAAGCTCTGGGCATTAGGAGGAGAGAGGCAGCGGGTGGGAATACTGTAAGGGCCCAGGTCTTGAGCAGAAGCAGCTGAGCCTAACTCCGGCACTCAGGAGGATCAGGAGTTTGAGGACTGTGAGAAAGGGCTCAGCTAGGCCATATCTGATTCAGGTTTGGAGTTTTTTTGTTGTTGTTGTTTTGGTTTTTGTTTGTTTGTTTTTTTGAGACAGGGTTTCTCTGTGTAACAGTCCTAGCTGTCCTAGGACCTGCTTTGTAGACCAGGCTGGCCTCGAACTCACAGAGATCCACCTGCTCATACCTCCCAAGTGCTGAGATTAAAGGCATGTACACCAACACCTGACCTGACTCAGGTTTTTTTGTTTGTTTGCAAGTTTTCTGATTCAGTGTTTAACAGAGCCATTTTGACAGTTGTGTGTTGGATCCCCCCGAGGTTTCCTAGTGGCTGTACCCAGCAGGTCTGCATAAGAGGATGATTGGGCCAGGGGCCTGGGTACCAGGTGTTTGGAAGGGTCTACACTTGGTTATATCTAGCAGGGGGCAGTCTTTTTGCCCTGCCCCCTGGCATTGTTATAAAAAGCCCTTTTGAATAAAGTTCTGGGCTGGTGGGTGTTGACCCAGGCCCTCCCGAGGCTGTCCTGTGTGTCTGTCTTTCCTCTCAGCATCTAGATATCTCTTTCTATCTAAACATTCCCCACTTCTCCCTGCTTGAGAGTTCCCTGGTTGTAAAAGTGGGGGCTGATCCCCTACAGTTGTACAAAGTGGGAACACTAGGGTGGGCCTGGAAGACTGCTCACCTGGCTCCTGCAGAGCCCCAGCTGGGAGAGGTGGGCAGACATATCAGTAGAGGGGTGAGAGACAGTCTACTTCTGGAGAGGTGTGTGAGCAATATATGTGCAATTATGTATGTATACCTCTATATTATACAAAGGAAAATGCATGAAATATGTGCTGCACGTTACTACATACATACGGTTTTCATGATTTTTCTATTTGGGTGCGGGGAGCTGAACTCAGGTCCTCATGCCTGCTCAACAAGTTCTCTTACCCTTGAGACATCTTCCCAGCCTCATACATTTAAATTTATTATCCATACACACTTTTCTGCAGAGCTAGAGGAGAACCCAATGCTCTACACATTAGCCGAGTGTTCTACCACAGAGCTACATCTCCAAGCCCCATATCAATTGTTTTGTTTTGTTTTGTTTGTTTCTAATGTTTGTTGTGTTTTCTGAGACAAGGTAGTCCTGGCTGTCCTGCAGCTTGCTGTGTAGACCAAGCTGGCCTTGAACTCAGAGAGATCCTCCTGCCTCTGCTGCCAAGTATTGGTATTACAGGCATGAGGCCACCGTGTCCAGCCCCCCATATCAGTATTTTTTAAATCTTTAACTTTTAAAACATCATGTATGTGTGTGTGCATTGTCCCCAGGAGGCCAGACGAGGGCATCCGATCCCCCAAAGCTGGAGTTACATCCAGGTGGTTGTAAATCACCTAATGTGGGTGCTGGGATCCTAACTGGGTCCTCTGCAAGCATAGTACACACTCCTAGCTGCTCAGTCACCTTTGAGTCACCAACAGCTGAGTCACCTCTCCACCTTCTAAGAAATGTATTATAAACTGGGCCATGGTGGCGCATGCCTTTGATCCCAGCACTCAGGAAGCAGAGGCAGGCCGATCTCTGTGAGTTCGAGGCCAGCCTGGTCTACAGAGCAAGTTCTAGGACAGCCAGGGCTACACAGAGAAACCCTGTTTTGGGGGGAAAAAATTATTATAGAAAATTTCCAACATTTACAAAAGTACCGCTCTGGTGTCAGTTACCCACCGCAGTGGTTCGCATGTGAGGACCAGTTTTGTCTCATCTCCACTCCCCTTACTCCTCTGACTACATCCGGAACCCAGGTGAGAGCAGAGGCTGGGATGGGCTGGATGCAGCAAGTGTGGTCTGTATGTCCTAAGCGCGAGAAACCTGAGCTCAGGGGGACTCCATCAAAGCTGAACTATGGATGCCAGGTGCCTCCCTGAAGCCTGAGCATGGCGCAGCCCGCTCTCCCTAGTGTGAGGCCACACCACAGGCTCTAGGTCATCTCGATCTTTCCATCCTACCTCTGTTCCCCCTGCACCCAGGGGCCACTCTGCTGATGTCACCGTTTTCTCAATTCATCACTCTTATCTCCCATCACCGTGACCCCTGACCCCTCACTTCTGCTCTTGAGACTCTCGCTCCCTGGGGTTCTGACCCTGCCTGTGCACGGCTCCTGGTCAGGTCATCCACCCTTCTGTCAGCATTACTGTGGCTCGTGGGTCACTTCTTGGTTTTTATTTCTTTTTCTTTTTCTTTTTCTTTTTTTTTTCAAGACAGGGTTTCTCTGTTTTATGGGTTTTTTTTGTTGTTGTTGTTGTTTGTTTTTGTTTTTGTTTTTTTATTTTAGTTTTGCACCTTTCCTGGAACTCACTTGGTAGCCCAGGCTGGCCTCGAACTCACAGAGATCCGCCAGGCTCTGCCTCCTGAGTTCTGGGATTAAAGGCGTGTGCCACCACCCCCTGGCCAGTGGGTTTCTTCTTACCCCCTCACGTCTCACAACCCAGTAGAACGCTGTCTGTGGAAACTCCTCCATGCTCAGAGCTACAGTGGCCCCTCAGTTCAGCATTGCTGACCTCTGACACTAGCTTGCACCTTCTAAACTGCCATCTCCCAGAAGGGCAGCTCCCTGGGCCAGCAACCTAGGTCACCAACAGACAGCTGACCCCTCACTCACCCCTGAGTGCATTCAGTTCAAGTACATTGCTCCCACAGCTGCGGCAGCGGCGGCGGATGATTACAGCTGGGTTGGGAGTGGTTTTGGTTTTTGTTCTCTAATGTGTTTATGCTTGTGTTTTTTCCTAATGTTCCAGGTACTACATCAACACTTGATGTTTATTAACACATATAGTTTTTCCCACACCCCTATTTTAATGTCAGCCTGGCTTTCCTGGACACCCAGACAGAATAATAACTTTCCCAAAGTCACTGGGAGAGTCATCTGGAGCTGGATTCAGAGGAGGCTGACTGGAGTCTTTGTGTATGCATATGCGTGTGTGTAGGTGTGTGTGCACACATATGTGTGTGTGTACAGAATTGTGTGGAAGTCAGAGAACAACTTACAGGGAGTCACCTTACTCCTTCCTCTGTGTGGACCCTGGGGATTAAACTCTGGTCATCAGGCTTTGATCCACGAAGTCATCTCGCTAGGCCTCAACTCTGGGTCTTTTGTTTGTTTTGTTTTTGTTTTTCAAGACAAAGTTTCTCTGTGTAACAGCCCAGGCTGTCCTGGAGCTCACTCTGTAGACCAGACTGGCCTCAGACTCACAGAGATCTGCCCGCCCTTGC